AATAATCTAAATATAATATATTATATTTATACATTATATATAATATATATTTAATATAGTAAATATATGTTATATATATGTATTATATAAATATTATAATGTAGTATATAGTATAAATTATATTAATAAAATAAATATATAATATAATATTATAAAACATAATATTATAGCCATAGTAGCGAGTGCTTTGCCTAAAAAACTCTTCTTAAACGTGTGCTTTTGACGTTGCAAAAAGTCCTTTTAAACAATAGCTTTTTCTAAAAGCAAACCAACCCTGCGATCACTCTCAAACCAGAGCTTTGCTATACATAAAAGTATATGTTGAAGAAGTGAAGAACACAACACGAAGAAAACTATAGGGCGTGCTAGCTGCAAAGAAAACTCCCTGTAAAATAACAAACCAACAAATACACCTCGGTATGAAGACAAGCAAGAAATAATAAACCAACAAATACACCTCGGTATGAAGACAAGCAAGAAATAACAAACCAACAAATACACCTCGGTATGAAGACAAGCAAGAAAGCAAATTCGCGTGAGCGCCGTGCTAGGCTAGCCCTTGCTTCTTGCAAGAAAACGGATGTGCTAATGCACCGCGCTAGCTGTTGTTTCTTGCTTTTAAGCTATTATGTTATATTATATCATATTAATAATACTAATATTATGTATTTATATTATGCATAGTGAATAGTGATCAACAAAAACGTTTTGAAAGATTAAGTTCCTACTCCCCCGTACCCTTCAACCCCACCCCCACCCCGCTCCTTCTCCCAAAAACTTAATCTTTTATGTTTTAACAAAGGAATGAGAACTTTATTGGAAGATTACTTTATGCACTTTTAGATGGAAACCGTGTGTCAAACACAGAACTTTGAAAAATTAGAAAGATTTATTTTAGAAAAAATCTTTTAGAAGGTAACTCGAAATCTAGATTTTTGTGCTCAAATCAAGTTGCCTTTCACTATCTTCTCCGATGCTTTGATTTGTTAGAAATTACTGAGAAAATTGGTTCGAATGCCCTAAGGTTGGGTTTAGGGTTTCTAAAGCTTATTAGGTTCCTAGATCTACGGTTTTTTAAAGGTTTCCACTAGTTTATAAGTTTATAGGGTTTTTCCAAATTTTCTAGGACTCATAGTGTTTTCTAGGAATTTATATGAATTTTATGGATTTTTTGAGATATTTTTGGGAATTTCCTATATTTCTAAGGGATTTTTGGGCAAATTTCTAGATTTTTCTCTATTATCTTGATGATTTTCCAACGTTTTTGAGAGGGGCTTGCATAGACTAGGCCTAGGGACATGGTTGAAATTTCTAGAAATAAACTTGAGTCCTATCCCAACTCTAACAAGGGTAAAACCATCAAAGAATGACCTTACATTGATCAACACATCAAGCATAATTATCTAAAGGCTTCTAGAAGATCTATCTGTCGCCCCAATGGTCTCGCACGATAGGTGGAGGGTCGCGTGGCCTGTGGGCCGCTCAATTATCGTGAGTCATGCAGCCTACACACAACCCCTAGAGGTTTTCTCTAGGGACTCTTTTGGCATTTTTTAGAACAATTTTTTCATGCTCATAACTCCTAAACACTAAATCGGATTTTGGTGATTATTGACATGGTTTTGAGTGACTGGGACAATTTTCAGGGGGTCTAGGTTCACGATGACTCGCTAGGTATAATATGATCCTTAAGATTCTAAATTAGGGCTTCGGGGAATCCAATTAACGAGAATTTCTGAGG